TAAAAAGAGTACAAATTCGATTAGACCACCAACACTGAGGTTAGAGGGACCTCCAGTGAAATCCTGGGTCTGGCATGAGGCACGCAGTCGGCCAAAATGGTTTGAAGGATGTGCTTCGCGCCTCTAAAGCATTTGACCTTCAGGAAAGTTATGGAAGGCCAGTGTTGACATTATGTACTCTTTTGTTGTTTATCAGGAAAAATTCCTATGCCTTTTTGGGGGATAGACTTTTAGACCTCATAAATCTAAAAATTCGACTAGTTCTAAAGACCACATGACTCCTATTCTTAATAGATAAATGAGCCAATTGAAGCTTATATAAGGAAAAAGTTTATATAAGGATGCAACGTAGAACTATATATGCACCTCAAAAAATCCATCGGAAAAGGTGGTTTTAATGTTGAAAAACCTTTTGATTGATCATCTCCACATCAAAATGATGATTATGAAAAATAAAACGATTTTAAGTCTCAGAAATAGTACATTTTACAACATATCATCTACACCGTCCATTTTCAAGATTTTCATATGTTTATAAATCTACTTGATTTTAATCATTATTTAAATTTAAAATTTTATATTTAGATATAAAAATAGATTTTGAGATAATACTATGACATTTTACATCAAAATTATATACCATGATAAAATTTGAAGGTGCACCTTACCTATATACCTACAGATGCATCAGTATGCCAACTGCACCCCCACTATATAAACCCCCTTCTAATGCCTTTCATAACATAGCTTAAAACCCTCAGGCTAGGAAAACCCTCAGGTCTTCCCTAATCTTAGGTCATTTAAAACCTAAAAACTCTTAGGCTAGAGAAACCCAAGAAACCTTAGAGCTTAGATCTTCCCTAACCTTAGGTTATTCAAAGGTTAGAAACTTTAGGTCATGAAACCCTAATTCTCTATAGTTAAAGACAATCATGAAACTCTAAACTAAGCCTTAGGATGGTCTAAACAACCAAAGCCCAAAGAAGAACATTCTAGGGTTGAGGATACACATGCTTCAACCACTATTCTAACTCGGGTTACCAACTCCAAGTGCGGGTTTAAAGGACCAGACTCTTAGTAAGTAGTTTTTTTTCTTTTTTTTTTCCCTTGTTTTAAATTTTTTTTCAATTTATTTCCTTTCTATATTTTTCTCTTCAGCTTTCCCTGTTTCTTTATCAGGCAGGTCTTGACTATGATGTGTGAGGAGAATTCATGCTTGTGCAGGCTCATCTTTTCATGAGTTGTAATTTGTTGGACCCCATTCTTTTTTACCGAGTTTAATTAATTTAATTTAAAGCATAAATTGGAGAGGATTATCGGAGATCTTTTTTAAGATTTGGATTTCAACAGTTTAGTGCCTACCGTGGAGCCCGATACGCTTGAAATCGCATGAAAGCCAAGCAGAAACTGACCTTAAAACTTCATTCAAGGGCCCTTTCTTAGCAACCCAGGGACCAAGAACATTGTGCAGGGATAGAAGCTTACAGTGACACACTGCGCATTACTATTGTTGTGTAGTAAACACACAACGCATCGTCGAAGGATTTTAGCGAAACCCTGACTCCACTCCCATAGAAGTTTCCAGGGAGCCCAGGACCCTAAGGAGGGCCCTATGCTCTTCCCTCAGGCCTCTAGCTCCACGTAGTAGCCCTCAATCCCTCCAAGCTCCTCCTCAAGCACCTCCAGATCGCTGTATAGTTAAGGGTCGAAACCCCACACGTTACCATTATCCACCGATCAAGCACCAGAAAATGTAATGCTCTGCATGAAAGAAGAAAGGTAATGGTGCTCGGGGCCATGTCGTCTGCGACCAACTTCTCGGCCACTTGTGACTTGAACCCTGATGCATCAACACTTAGCGCAACCTTTTTGCTAAGTGTTTTCAGTAAGTCCAAAAACAAGTCCTATTGGGACAATACTTGACTTGCTTCCTTGTGGCCTGTCCCAAAGTGAAGCGACTTCTTCTGTCACAATGGTTTTGAAACAACCACAAGGTGCTGCAACCATAAGGTCTTGCAAAGTGTCTTCTCGGACAGGTCACTTGTCTGAGAAAACAGTTTGCGACCGACTCGAAATGACCCACTCCTAACCACTTGTTATATGTGATTCCTAGGGCATGAAGAACACAATGGAAATTGCTTGTGATTCAATCCCACTTGCCCGTCCGTCCGCAATCTCCATCAAGGTTTGACTACCCAAGAAAAGAGGATTGAGCAGTTAGTGTTACCCCGTATTGGAACAACACCCTCTAGGAAAGCAGTTTGACACTTGTAAAACTTGTTCACTGTCCTTTACGTCCATGTAGAGACCCCTTCTAGAGTTGGTTGTATTTCGAGTCCTTGAACCTTGAACCCACCCTAACTCTGAAATGTAACCCGTAACTAAACCATAGTCCAGCCCTAAGACATTTCTTAAATATCCCAAGTATATCCCAATGACACCCAAAATAGGCAGTTTTCAAGATGACAAAGGCGAAAAATTAGATGAACAAGAGTTTGTACTGTGAAAACTCTAACAACATATCAATTGGGGCAAGAAATAAAACAATGACGCAATACGCATCGCTGATCCAATGGATGGTCCAGATTGAACTGCAATGTCAGTTACGTGATCGGGCAGTACTTTGTCTATCAATATACCTTTTTGGGTTGAGAAAGAAACCTCAACCCTAGCCTCTAAAACCCTAGATAAGAAGAAAATCTTTTTCTAGCCAAACACTCTTGAAGCAAATTCCTAGGCCCCAACAATTCAAGACATCCTTTGGATCAACAAAGTTCAAAGATCAAGGAGCAAACACTTACATCTTCTGTCTAATTCAGGCCCCAACTTTGGGTGTCGAGCCTAGAGGCCTTGCTTCCCTAGTAATCTTTTATCATTTCCTTTTATTTAATTTATGGGAAAAGCTTATACAGAGCCAAACTCTAAACAATCAAATTAGAGCCTACCTAAAAAAGTTCACTAGAAGAGGTTGTTTTGATGCCCAAATATCTTCAAATCAAATTAGAGCCTACCTAAAAAATTTCACTAAAAGAGGTTGTTTTGATGCCCAAATATCTTCAAATCAAATTAGATCATACCTAAAAAATTTCACTAGAAGAGGTTGTTTTGATGTCCAAATATCTTCAAATTGATTATCTCGACATCAAGATGCATACACATGAGAAAAAAATGGATTTCAAATTTTGGAAATAGTATATTTTGTGGGGAAAGATTTCTATGTTCCCCCTATAACATAGAAGTTCTATCCTCCCCTTACCATCCAGCCGTCCATTTTTTATCAAGAGAGCCACTCATCATTGGATCTTAGATCCGACGTCTCAAAGTATTTTATTTTTAGTTTTTTTAATACAATATTTCTGAATATGAAATTTGGTACGTGCTATCTTCTCATTGAAACGCACCTATAAAAAATATTAACAATAATTTTTCGATAAAAAATAATAACCAAAAATACCCCTTGAAACTTTCAAGGGTAATTTGGTCATTTTATTTTATATAAAAAAAATTTAAATATTTTTTCGTTAGTGCGAGTTTAATAGAAGAATGGACTTCCAAAATTTGGTGTCAAAATAGTTTATAGAAAAAAAAATTAAAAATAAAACAGTGTAGAGACATGACATTGTGATTGGGGCAATCTTAACCCTCCATTCAAAAATGGACGGTTGGATAAAAAAGAGGATAGAACTTCTAGGTTGTAGGGGGAACATAGAAAACTTTCTCATATTTTGTGACGCAATTTTGGACCATCAAACTTCAAGATTTCCAAGTTTTTATAGATATGTTGATTACACTATTTTTGAAGCTTTAACCTTTATAAATAAAGATGAAAATATATTTTAAGTCTATCACAAAGATTTTCAATATTAAAACCATCTCAATACTATTTGAAAGTAGGCTCTAATTTGATTGTTTAGAGTCTATGCTCTATGCAAACTACACCCTTTATTTATTTTCTTTTATTTCTGGAATGTTTGTTCTCTTATTTTATGTAGACCTTTAAAAATTATTCTTCGTATTTTTATCTATTGATTTCCAAAATTTCAAATCAGTTTTACACCAGCCCTGCCAACAATTTATGAAGCAATGATCTTTATAGACTAATTCTTCATAAATTGTAATTTAACATAACCCTTCTCTATTGATTATTATGGCTTAGTTTAGAGATGAGATAAGTAGTTTAGAGATGAGATAGGTGTCCATTTCATCCCAAATTTTATGGCTCAGTTTAGAGATGAGATAAGCAGTTTAGAGATGAGATAAGTGTCCATTTCATCCCAAATTTTGTGAAATTTTACGTGTAAATAGTTTGACACCCACCATAGGACCTGTCGAGCTTTCAATCTGCATAAATTGGCCACAAAACTACCCCAAAGCTGATTGGTTTTGACAAACCAAGAAATTGGGAAACATCATTAAAGCCCTGAAAACTTCAAGCGAGAGAGAACGAGCAAGAAATATTATCATTATCACCATAATCTAAACCTTATCACAAATATTTGGCCTCTCAGACCTAAAGAGCCAAAGTTCCTCATGAACCTCAAGAGCCTCCCTCCAGAGATGGCTTTTGAATTCCTAACTTAAAGAAAATTGGAACTTCAGAGTCCTATAGTCCCACCCAAACCCTCAAGAGCCACCCTCTAATAGTCAAGATAGCTATTAAGGTCCAAGAGGAACTTACAAAAGTCCTAAGTTCTTTCGAGTGAGGAACTTAGGACCTTCATCCTAGACCCTAAGAGCCTTTGATAGCCTATGTAGCACCTAGGCCCTGGAAAAACTTAAGACCTTGAGGGTCAGCAGAGGTGGCCCATGGGGTTTAAGAACTTAAGACCTAGAAGGTCCTAAATTAAGGGTAATCAGGTCAATTTTAAAAAAATTAAAAGAAAAAAATAAGTCTAAATGTAATAACTGAAATTTGGGAGGAATTTTTTCAACAACAGGAATTTAGGGGGATACGTGCATAAATTTCCCTCGTAAAGTTTGCACCAGTTCTTTTCTTTTTGTTTTTTTTTTTTTTGGTACTTTATATTATAACCTTCCAATTTTCAAATAGAGAAACATATGAGCAACTCCAGTTTGCGCCACTACTGGCACCCATAATAGCACCGGTTAGAACTCCCCTCACAAATTACAAATAAAGCACTTTAGCGCTGCCCGTGCCAACAATTACAGTAAAGTTTTCACTATATTCAATGATTGACCAAATAATGAAATCAATACGACAGATGCTACACTCTAGCACTGTCAGCACCAACAATTACAGTAAAGGTTTCACTATATTCAATGATTGACCAAATAATGAAATTAATTTGACGGATGCTATAGCGGTGGCGCCAGCACATGCACCATCAAAGCATGGACTATATGATAACACTCCTGCAATTAAATGATTAATATTTATGATAAGCTTCACAGCTTCAAGCACCACCTCTCAAACAAACCAAGAAATGAAACCATGCATGGTGAAAGCATACCATGCATCACACACATCCAATAAATTGTGCATACCACATACCACACACATCCTGAGCATCATATACCATACACATTTGGGGCATCCATATTCATTGCAGATGATGAAGATGAATCGTAATTTGGCGTAAATATCCGCCATTAGACGTTACAGTTCATCTCCATCATCCATCTTGACAAAACTGGTGGTTGATGTCATGGCTGTGTGTGGTATGCTTTTCCTTGAGCGTATTCTCTTTTATGGGTGTGATGATATCAATGTGCAGGTAAATTTACACTTCGTTCAAGTATTTACCATGAATCAATGAAGGCTGGCCCTTGCAAACATTGGCAGCGGTTGAAATCCAATACATACCTCTTGCCATTCTTGGGAGCTTAGCATTACTGAAGAGGATTTTCTGTTTAGTTGATGCCAACAGTGTGGAGGGATCAACAGTAGCATCATAATTGGTCGTGACAGACAAGAAACTCAACTATACAAGGATAAACATAGTCTGCTGCCTGCATAACGGGAAGAAAGAACATATCAACATCAATGTGCATAGACTGTAGATGAAAGAATCTCTCTCTCTCTCTCTCTCTCTCTCTCTCTCTATCTCTCTCTCAATGCATACCAGGCGCCCTCCAACCAAGTCATAGTGTGCAAAATGTGGACCATCTGGCTCTCCGAAAACTTTGTAGGTAACGATATGGGGAGGGATGAGCTTCACCGTTTCTGCAGATTTGTACAACACAAGCATGAAGTAGTTCTAAGAAATCAAATTGCGGTGCAAAAATACCCTCCCCTACCAAAAAAACAAAAAAAAAGTGTGCCTGCATATGTGCGCGTGTTTCTATTGTGGATTTTTTATAAGTTATATATGCCCAAGGCTACCAACATCATCGGATCCAAATGGATGCCCTGGAGATGTCCTTTGACGAGTACAAAAGGAGAGAAGGAAAAAAAAGAAGAAAAGAAACAGACTCTTTTGAAGTCCACCATCCTATCTCTCTAAGCTCTCTTTAGCTCTCCGTCTCCAAATGATTAATCTACGATCAGTCCCCATCTCTCTCTCTCTACCAATCTTTCCAATTTTCCAGCGACTTTTCCACGCAATGCCAAAACCCATATTTTTTTCAGTGTTTCGGAGGGTATGACCTCAATTCTTAGAGAGAGAGAGTTCTAATGCTGAGTGCCTGCTTCTGCACAACGAGAGAGGCTATGATGCTGAAATTATTATAATTGAAAGTTAATTGCTAATGGGAGGGCCCATTTGTGTGCTCGCGTTGTTCCCATGCAAAAATGAGCTCAGTGATGATGAGCTTCCAATTGAAGGTAAGATTAGAAAAAGCCTCCATGTACGAACCCATGGCATATTCACAAGGAACACCCTTCTTCTTTTTTTCCCTCTTTCTAAGAAAAGCCTTCGAGAGCTCAAGGATAGAGGGTCGAGGAGCCCTTTTGACTCATTGTCAACCCTGGTTTAGCAGTCGTGGATTTGAGCTTCTGTTTCTCCATTAAACATCTCCTTGCTTTAATGCTTCCCAGTTTTTCAGCTCCTTTGGGTCGATGGCTCTGCCACAAGGTTGGGGCGGATGTTGAGATTTGGGATTCAAAGAACCATAGCAAAAGAGGCAAGAACAGCCAGGAGATCAATTTCTAGCAAGATTTCGGTTTTTCCAGCAAGTTTGATAGCCAGATTTTGGGATTTCCCTGTAAGGATAAGAGAAATGGAGCAATTTCAGGGAAGAACATCAGAAAGAGAGATTAGGGAGGGGGTTGGGTTTCCAGTTCGTCTCAGATGAGCCAATTGCCTGTTTCATCCTTTTCATTTGTTACATCATCAACAAACATCTCCCAGCAGTTTGTTCAGACCAAGGTTTAGAAACTCAGCATGGTTTGAGACTCACCCCATGAGCCAAGTAACTCGAGAGTGTCTGAATGAAGACCAAGTAGTGTACGAGCGCATATAAAAGGTTAAAAAATGTAAAAAAAAAAAAATGCTAAAGGGTAAAAGGCAAAAGAAATTATAAAAGGCCTTAAAAGATGAAAAAATTACATAAAAGATTGCATATAGAAGAATTTATTTGTAGTTTACAATTCATCAAAATTCAAAAAATGGAAAAAGAGGAAAATGGAGTCTATAATAAGAAAATATCACATATCATGACAAAAAACATACAAATTATAAAGCAATGCAATTATAGAACGATATAGAGATTTGATGAAGAAAACATAAAATTAAACACCTTTAGGCAAAGCACAAGCACTAATTTGAAAAAAGGTTTCTTCGCCAAACCCAAACTAGGGCTTCAAAGCTGAAGCTTCCTTTTTGTTTTTTTCAATTTCAAAATCACGCAAACCCCACCTACACCATGCATCTCCTTTATGACTTTATTGGTGTACAAAGGTCCATAATGCCCATCACCAAAATATGATTTGACTAGATAGTCCTAACTTAGAACAAAATTCACAATGGCAATTTCACCCTTGATAAAACACAATATTTAATACGCTATCTTAGCTACTTTTCTATACAGCTCCTAAGATCCTAAAATAAACAAACCCTAAAATCCCTAAAAAACCTAAAAATCCTAAATTTAAAATAGAAATATACATCATTTGAAATTAAACAAAAATTAAAAATAAGAACAATTTTGTCCTACATCAGACCCCCTTGGTTGTAAAACACCCGTCGGCAAGTTTTGAAGAGTGGTTAGCTGAATTCAGCATTAAAATCACATTCTTCAACCTTTATTGTTGGCTTAAAGATTATTTGTGATAAGAAAAAATCCTCAAGAAACAGATTTTGATATTTGCATTGAGGAATGGATACAAATTTATCTAATTTGGCTATCCTTGAACTCGCATTGAAATCATGTAGGAAACTTCAAATCAAATTTCCTGGACTTTAGGAGCTTTCTCGACATCTGTTTCATTACTATCTAAACCTAGGGCCACAATTTGCGGTTTGAGCAAACCACGCTTTTGTTGTGCTACTCTCATTCCAATACCCTAAATCTTTTGAATGCTCCACCTCTTTAAAATCCTTAAGACCTTCATCTTGAAGCTTATTATAGATGGATCTCCTAAGAGATCTTGTTGTTCATCTGAGAGATCTTTATCTTGAAGCTTATTATAGATGAATCTCCTAAGAGATCTTGTTGTTCATCTGAGCATGTATCGAAGATTAGTGGCGAATTCCAAACTACTACCTACTAATTTGGGAAAAAACTCGATAAAAATGAAGATTCTCCACAGTTGTCCTCCTAAATATCACAAACCAAATTATGCTGACAAGCAGTGAGATTACCTCTCATTCGATTGAGTTAAATTATGCGCAAATCAGGAATGTCCACCTTCAAATTGAAAACCCGAAAGTAATGCTCCCCTCATCTAGGTCTTCTATGACTCTCATCTTCATTCAACTCCTCACACGGAGCACGACAATGAAAAGTGTTCTAATCAACATCTTGAGAAGAAAGATCACTATCTTACCCTGAGCGTGCCCGCAAGTTATCATGCAAGCTACTGAATTTGCCTCCTGAGATCTTAAATTTCTTCATCCCATGCATCACAAGGTAGATCTACAACAACTCCTCTTCCATGTCCCTTCTTGCCCTCGTAGGTTCAACTAAATCACAAACTCTAAGTAGAAAACGAGCAAATCCTAGACTGAAATTAGCAAGTTCTAAATTGAAATCAGACAACAAATTTTGGACTGAAATCAGGATATCTTGGCCAAAACCTAGACTTGATCTACGATTCCTGCCCTTTCTGACCATAAATCGGTGGCTCTGATACCAATTGATGTAGGAATTTCATGAAGAAAATAAAAATTAAACCATTTCAGGAAAAGCACAATCACCAATTTGAAGAAAACTTGAAGTTTCTTCCCCAAACCTAAATAGAGCTCCAAGCTAAAGTTCCCTTTTTTCCTTCTCATAAACTCACGTGCATGACCCTACCTCTACGCACCTCTTCTATGACTTAATTGGGCTACAAAGGTCCATAACGCCCTTCACCAAAATAAGATTGACTAAAAGGTCCAAACTTAAAACAAAGTTCATAATGGCATTTTCACTCCTAATAAAACAAAATATTCTATAAGCATGCTAACTACTTTTTTAAATAACTCCTAAAATATAAACAAGGCCTAGAATCCCTAAACAAACCTTAAAAATCCTAAAAATAAACCCTAAAAAATTAAAATATAATATATGGCCTTTGAAATTAAAAAAAATCAAAATAAGAATAATTTTTCATGCATCATACAACATTAATTAGTGATTTAGTTAAATGTTAAAAATAACAGAATTTGTATAACCTTGAGTTTGTAATACAAACTCACCTCCGCACCTTGCTGAGGCCCAGTTTTCCAGCAGTAGTTTAGATTGGATGGTTACTAGGAGCTTAAGGGCATATATAATTTATTAATATAACATGACATAAAAAATTTCCCATATAAATTGTGTGTGCACGTGTGCGTGTGTGTGGAAAGGTTCATAGTGGGAGCAACCTATTTGTAGAAGTAGGCAAGTAGCAACGATATGTATAGAAGTCGCAATAGTTGGATGGTATAGATTTGACACTATCAGTGTTCAATTGCACGAACAGGCTGTGGAAACCAACCATGGATCCGGTCCAGGTAACCGGCCCAAGTTGGGCAAGTAACCGGCTCGAGTTGGGCAGGTACCGGCTAAGCAAATGTTTGAAGTAAAATTAAACAAAACAATCTAAATGAGGTTAAAAAAGTAGTAAAAAAAACCAGATTTTGAAAAATCAATTTGTGACTCGATTATTTTTTAGATAATCCAAAAAATATAGGAAAATGTAAAAATAAGAATTCATGGCCAAAATACTTTCCAATATTTGCCAAAATGATAGAACACATAAAAAATCATGTTACAAATAGACAACTTATTTTTTTAGTGAATTTTTTGTAACGATTTTTACTTTTTTTAAGATCCCTGAGTTGGACACTCAACTCGGGAATACTCGGGCGGCGAGCCCAAGTTACTCACAGACTTGCCCAACTAGTTGAACACTGGACACTGTATTAAAAAATATGCCAAATTTTGATTATCTTAAAAGGCATGTCAAATCTACACCGTCCAACTAAAATGGCTTATATCATGTTGCTTGTCTTGTATAGGCCACACACACACATGTGTATGTGTGTGTGTGTATATATATATATATATATATATATATGGGCCGTGATTTCATGCAACGGTTGTATCATAATATAATGCAACAACACTTCTAGAAAACCATGTTTGTGGCATTTGTATGACCCAAAATTTTGCACACACACTCTCTTCATCTCAATAATCAATCAAAAAAAATAAAAATTCAATTCGAACCCAAGAAATGGTCAAAATGGGCCATGTTGCTTGTCTTGTATAGGCCACACACACACATGTGTATGTGTATGTGTGTGTGTGTGTGTGTGTGTGTGTGTGTGTGTATATATACATATATATATATATATATATAGGCCGTGATTTCATGCAACGGTTGTATCATAATATAATGCAACGACACTTCTAGAAAACCATGTTTGTGGTATTTGTATGACCCAAAATTTTGCACACACACTCTCTTCATCTCAATAATCAATCCAAAAAAAAATAAATTCAATTCGAACCCTAGAAATGGTCAAAATGGGTCCCCTCCAAAAACAAATCTAGACCATTCATTTGGTGAATTTCAACATCTTAGCCTTTATAAACTCAAAATCATTTTTTTTCTTTTTTAACATTGTTCATCTAATGATAATAAAGCCATCCTAAAAAATTGGAAATGAAAAACTCCTTCTAAGACCTAGATCTAAGCATCTCACCAAAATGAACGGCCTATGTTAATTGGGCTACAAAAATACTTTCTAGACAGTGTTTTAAAGTTTTTCTTTTTTGTGATTGTTCATTAGAATGAAAGAGTGCATATTTCAAAATTTGTATCAAACAAATGGCCATATCATGGTTTTTGAAGGTCGTTGCATCAAACAAATGGCCATACCATGGTTTTTTTTAAGTGAGTCATTTCATGCAACAATGTACAATAATATAATGAAACAATCTTCACAAACTGTGTTAGGGCTATTTGTTTGACCCTAATTTTTAAATATATCTTTATATTCCAATGAACAATCACGAAAAAGTAAAATTTTGAAAATACACCCTAGAAAGTGTTGTTTTCAGCCCAATTAATATAGGCCACCCAAGAAAGTGCTTTTTTCTCAGCCCAATTAATATAGGCCACCCAAGAAAGTGCTTTTTTCTCAGCCCAATTAATATAGGCCGTCCATATTTAGTAAGATGCCTAGATCTAGGACTTGGAAGGAATTTTTCCCTTTCCAAATTTTTAGATGGATTATTCTCATTAGATGAACAATGTTAAAAAAAAAGAAAAATGATTTTGAGTTTGTAAAGGCCTAGATCTTGAAATTCACAAAATGGATGGTATAGATTCATTGTGGAGGGGGACTCATTTCGACCACATCTAGGGTGCAAATTAAATTTTATGTTTTTGGAGATTGGTTATTAGGATATAAAGAGGGTGCGTGATGCCACAAACATAATTGTTTAGAAGTGTGGGTTCATTATATTTCATTATATTACAACGACGTGGTGACATGAAATCACTCCCCATATTATGGCCATTTGTTTGATCTAAATTTTGAAATATACACTATTTTCATTCTAATGAACAATCACAAAAAATAAAAATTTAAAAACACAACCTAGAAAGTAGTATTTTAGTCCAATTAACATAGGCCGTTCATTTTGGTGAAATGCTTAAATCTAGGCCTTATTAGGAGTTTTTTCATTTCCAAGTTTTTTGGATGGTTTTATTATCATTAGATGAACAATGTTAAAAAAGAAAAAAATGATTTTGAGTTTATAAAGGCTAAGATCTTGAAATTCACCAAATGAATGGTCTAGATTCGTTTTTGGAGGGGACTCAATTTGACCATATCTAGAGTTCAAATTGAACTTGTTCTTTTTTGGGGATTGATTATTGCGATTAAGAGAGTGTGTGTGCAAACTTTTGGGTCATACAAATACCACAAACATGGTTTTCTAGAAGTGTCTCGTTGAATTATACTATGATACAACAGTTGCATGAAATCACTGCCCATATATATATATATATATATATATATATAAGTTTGTCTAAAGTTAACAACCCCTCAAAATACAACGGTTAATGATAGAAGAGGTGATGGGTGTATTTATCAAAAAGATCATTACTTTTTGTTTAAAAAATTATTTTGCTATGCAACTTAACCACTAAATAAGGGCAAATTTGAAACTTTTACAAAAATACAATAGCATTTTGAAAGTTACTATCATATAACTTTATTTGTAGAGTGTCATTGTCCTTTAGTAAAAATTTCAAGTTTATCCTTTATGGAGATAACAAAAGTACCTCTTTTCTTGTAGTGATATTTTAAAAAAAAACCTTATTTAATGAGTAAGATATCACAAAAAGTAACTTTTTTTAAGAAATAGATCACAAAGTTAGTAAATCTACCATTCACAACTCATTCTATCATTAATCTTTGTAATTTGAAGGGTTGTGAACTTTAGATTATCCCTATACATATATCACAACTCACCATATACAGCTTCGGGTGGACAAATCAAGTCCTTATCCCCAGCAATTGCTAACACAGGGACATCATACTTAGGTAAGTGATCTTTGTAGTAGAAAGTGCCGCTCCTATCACGTAATCCCCTATATCTGAAAGCTGTCGTAAGTTGCAAAAGAAGTTTGGCAGGAATGGTACCTGCAATATTATCAATTTTGTGAACATAATTATATGATCTATTTCCTCCTACTTCCATAAAAGTAACAAAGAAAAATAATTTGAAAGGTCACGTTACATTGTGTGAGAGATGATTTGAGTGAGAGAATAAAATGGAAAGAGGAAAGTAGAGATGGGCAATAATCACAGAGAGAAAAATAAAACAAAAAACCAAAAGAGTGGCTAACTGCTAAAATTCATTAAGGTCAGTACATAGCATCATGACAGTATACTCTCATCATTTCAATAGAAATCTGTCACAGGGAGACCAGTGAACCATTCAAAGATAACAATTGCCGAGACAAATCGCTGCTAGATAACATGTCCCCACTTTATAAGTTGTTGGGTATAAATAATGGCCAAGAATAATATAACTACAACAGAAACGACAGAAGCAAGTATCCACAGTTCCAAAAACCATAAAATTCACATATCTAGAATGTATTTCACAACCTATTCAAAGTCAAGTTTTTTATACTGGTATTCTACCATCAGCCAGTGAAAACTTTAGCGTTTTAACTTAACTAAAACCCTTCACTTTCTCCATATGAGTCGACCATTCTCCCAGATATTTTACCCAATAGATACATAGTTCTAAAAATCGAACCTTATCATGGAAGCCTCGTCCATGCATATCTTCACTTTTAGATGTTACCTTTTGCATGCATAATCTATAGCTATACACCCACCAGGATGTGTCGACTAAAATATGTAAGGAAACATGTAAGCAGGCTATATAATTCCATAATTCATTTCTTAATGTTCCTGTGTGTTAGCTACACATCACGTACATGATGTAATAAATAAATAACTAGATAAGGACTATTGACACACATAGTAATCAAATCAAGGCCACATGGAGAAATGAGGAGCGAGATCATTAAGGTAATATGTTCATTCACAAAACGTGAAACTGCAGCAAAGAACTCTCCATTTACAATTTTCCAAAAAAAGATAACTCTTCATCTACACCGAACTGCAACAGGAATATCTTAAAAATACAGCCAAGAAATGGTCAATTGGTTACCAAGTTGTAATGTTAATTTGAAATTCATGTTCATGGGGGATGCCAACATGGCAACAGAGAGGAAAGCTGGGTTTTTTTGTGAAAAGAGGGATTCATGTCACTTTAGGAGTTAGTGTAAATCTTGTTATGGTATCCTTCTCATCTTGTTCAACAAAATTATTCCCTACTACGAAAAAAATGAGACTACTAGGATAGTTTACAATGAGTATAAACACTTAATTAAATAAATTTTTTACAAGCCAGGCATCAATTTCCCACCAATCAAAACTCTTATCTTGGTTCTCATAATGTGGTGTGGTCTATCTGAAATAATACGCTGCAGCTTGCGACTCACCCAATAATATATGACGTGTTCATGAAGATGTTGATGAGAGTAGTACTTTCATTTCATTCATCCCTCAAGTATATAAATTGTACTTTAGTCATATATTTTAACTTTTCATTCTCTTCTATCAAAAAAATGAACATGTATTTTTCTTATTCATGTGATCAGGTAAATAAAAATCAAAATCTTATCACTCTTCAAGGAATTTCATAGTCAAGGGTTCATTAACAAGGCCATGAACACCACCTTCATTGCCTTGATCCCTAAAGTCGAAGATGTGGAGGAACTCAAAGATGTTAAACCCATCAGCTTGGTGAATTCCTCATACAAACTGCTTTCCAAAGTGCTCACCTCTAGGCTTAGAGAAGTCCTCCACTAGGTTATCTCCCCAACTCAAGGGGCCTTTGTCCAAGACCGTCAGATTCTTGATGGCGCTCTAGTTGCCCATGAGTGTATCCACTCCAGGCACCACGCTAAGACCCCTGGGTTAGTTATCAAATTGGATTAGGAAAAGGCATACGACCATGTGGACCGGTCTATTCTCGACCAGGCCCAGGCTAGGATGGGCTTTGGCCCTCGTTGGCGCAAGTGGATGCAAGTTGTGTATCTAGTTCCTCCTCCATCATTTTCAATGGTTCTCCAAACTGCTTCTTTCCCACTTCTAGGGTGACCCCCTGTCGCCCTTCTTGTTCACGATAGCAGCTAAGGCTTTTAGCCAGTCTATCTCAAGCCTTTATAGCAACGACCTCCTCTTTGGCTTCAAACTAGGGCCAGGGCACCGAGATCCCCCATCTGCAGTACGCATATAATAAGCTCCTCTTCTATGAAGCTACCACCCAACAGGTTGACACTTTGCTTCTCTTCCCCAAATGCTTTGAGATAACCACAGGGTTTAAAGTAAACTTGGCCAAAACAACCATGACTAGTATCTCGATGGACCCCCAAGCTGTGGAAACCTTGGCTGGCCGATGGGCATGTTTGACCAGCTACCCACCACTTACTTAGGTCTTCCACTCTGTGTAGGCAAACCCAAACACAGACTGTGGACTCACATAATCGATACATTTGATTGTCGCTTTGTGGGATGGAAGGGAAGGTTCTTATCCTCTACTGGCAGCATCACTCTCATCAAGGCCACCCTTTCCAACATCCCTAGTTTTCAAATGTCCCTCTTCCACATTCCCGCCTCAGTTGTGGCTCTCCTAGAATAGCCCATGAGGAATTTCCTCTGATCAGGGGAAGGCAGTAGGAAATTCCATCTCATCTTGTGGGATAAAGTCTGCTTGCCCAAATGGAAGTGGTCGCGGAGGTGATTTGCAACCCAAGGGACCTCTGGAATGAGGTACTAAAATCTAAATACCACTAGTAGGACTCTGCTTGGCTCCCCAGAGGGAGAGCCAACAGTAACTCTTCTGGGGTATGGAAGGCCATTAACCGGCACCAGAATCCATTTCTGGACAGACATGTGGATTGGCCACGCACTTGAAGATAGGTTTCATAACCTATACCTCTTGGCTACCAACCGAGACGCAACAGTGGCAGGGCAATTTGACAGTGTGGGACCTAATAGGCTGGATTTAGAAGGCCCCTGAAGCCTTCTCATCCCTCCTCCACTCCTTCTTCCTCCCCAGGCAAGGCCTGGACAAATTAGTGTGGGCTCCTGCGCCCTCGGGGAAGTTCTTGGTCTCCTCTTTCTATGGTATCCTTCGTGCCCTTGCCCTCCCCCCCCCCAATCCCATCCACCGCAGGCAGTGCTAGGTCCACCCTCTCCCCGCTCAAGGTTCAATTCTTCAGTTGGATTGCCAACTCGGAAAGGACCCTCACACTGGACCAACTGCATCGGAGAGGCCTACAGATCCCAAATCGATGCATCATGTGCACCAACGATGAAGAAACTAATGCCCATCTTTTCATCCACTGCACTCTCGCCTATTCCCTCTGGGGAGACCTCTTCAGCCACACCTCTTCTCTCCCCCTAGGCACAAATCGGTACTTTTCTTATGGCTACGGCTATGTCCGCACTACTGTGGACTATTTGGAAAGAAATGAACAAAGAATCTTCTCCCTTGTCACACTCAAAGACCAGGTTAGATCTTCCATTATATGTTGGACGAAAAACAAGTTCTTTAGACACTCTTCCCCACCCGGCTTTCACCAGAACTGGTAGGCTCTACTGCATCTGAGTCCCATCAAAATACCTCGCTCCTCCCTTTGGAGGCCTCCAACCTCAACCAAATCAAGCTAAACTTTGACGGGTGTTCCTTGGGTAACCCAGGACTAGCAGGCATCGGGGGCCTCTTCGGAGACGAGGATGGGTGCACTCTCCTGTCCTACTCTCCTCACATTTGTATTATCAACTCCCATACTGCTAAGGCCCACCACCCTCCTTGAAGGAATTAAACTCTTTGATCCCTCTTGTAACCCTTCCCTAGTCATTGAGGGGGACTCCAAAAATGTGATTGCTTGGGCATCTAGTTCTGCTCCCTCCCCTGGGAGAGTAGAACACATTCTCAATGAGATCTCCCATCTCTGCAGATCCCTTCATGTCCCTTGGATACACACTTACACATCTCACGGGAAGCCAACAGGGTCATTGATTCCCTTGCAAAAGCTGGAGCTACGCAGTCAACAAGCACGCCACTCGATATTCAGAGACTTCCTAGCATCGTTGTGCACATGGAATACCCATTTTTGTACTTCTGAGTTGTTTCTGTACGGCATTTTTTGGTAGCCCTCCCCAGGGAGGGCATTTTTGGACCCTTGAGGCTTTTGTACAGGACCCCTATGCTACAGGGCGTCTTTACTACACTCTTTTGTATCTTCTCTCTCTTACTCAATGCAACACTCATCACATTAAAAAAAAACAAAACAATCAAAATCTTATTTAGGCCATGAGTACCACTAAAGCTATTCAACAATTGCTGTGTAATATGTTATTTATAGTGCAGTGTTCATTGAGTTCTTTTCTCGGTACTTATGAGCTATAAATTTTAGAAGATCTCCTCACCCTCATATTGAACAAGGATCGAAGGCAAAAGACAATGGCAGCTCCATCATCCAAAGTTAAAAATTCTGCCCTTGCATCTTAGTCCACCGTCCACACTTTCAACAGTCCAATGAAGTTGACTCACAGTTCTTACTACTGACTGGCCAACCATTGATTAGTGCTAGGAAATATGTCTCCCAATTTCAACAAAAGCCAACAAAAAGCTTTTTCTTTTTCTTTTTTTTTTGGGGGGGGCTAAAGTAAAGCCAGTGAAAAGCTATCATGTAGGATGTCTCAATTCCAACCTACTCTTCTCAATGATTTGAAACAACTGATAAACTCAAAATGAAGCAAAGCCATGAAATCTTTTAAGTTATCAATCCTCGCATTCTTTCCCTTAATCTAAGTTATCATGAGATCCCCAATTCTGGAGCACTGCATTATTAATGAGGTAAGCACTTTGTCTACTTTCTATTGGATCCTCAAGAAAAAATTGAAGTTTAGCTCATAAGTCCTCTTGAAGAGCTCCCCGATCGTGATGAACATATCCTGATGCGACAATGTTTTGTTGTAAACTACCACACCTTCCAAACCAATCCCAAAGGTGCTCCTTGTTCCATTTCTGCACATATTCATCATGAATCAGGTGTGAAAGCCATTCATGGATATTATTTGAATACATTATTTTGAGCCATCGTATCCAACAGCAATTTAGTCTGGCCGCCAATTTTGATAATTGGAACAGCCAAAAAAATACCATTCAGTCAAACTTGTTCTATTGAAACCTAAATATTATTCAAATTAATATCGCTTCGTGGAAATTATTTTGAATACATTATTTTGAGCCACCGTACCCAACAACAATTTAGTCTGGCCCTCAATTTTGATAGTTGGAACAGCCAAAAATATACCATTCAGTCAAATTTATTCTATTGAAACCTAAACATTATTCAAATTAATATCACAAATATCACGTTCAGCTACACGTGTTCACCCTAGATAAAGACTAACAAAGAAATAAAAATTAATAGAGAAAGATCCATTTCACTAACAACCTATTGGTTTCAAGTTCAAAATTGTAAATTATAGTAGTTCAGAGTTCAGCTGCTAAACAAGTAATGTCCAAAGGGAAGACATGTCTTTAACCTTCCAGATAAGGCAGTAAACTACAACCATAATTTTGATCCCTAAAAGCACAAATAGACTGCAGACTTTCATGTAACTTTTAAATTAGATAACCATAAAGGTCAACAACCCCATCCACATGGCATGACGCCCTGTACATGAATAAACAACAAACAGGATAATCAAGAATATATATAACTTACAGAAATTGTTCAAGACAAGCTTTTCTAGCAACTCAGGATGCATCATGTCTTGAGATGATATCAGAGGAGTTAGCCAAGACAACACGTAAGGTGGGCGAGAACAAAGAGGATAAGCAGCCACCATTAGTGCTCCCAATGGAACGACAGGAACATTAAGTGCCTGGGCTGGATCAGCCTGCATAACATGGTAAAGCGACACTCGTCAACCTCCAACCAAAATTTTACAACAGTATTATTCTTTATGCACAGCACTTGAATGGCTACTAAAGGAAAACATCAACTTACGAGAGGTAGCAACAACTTTAGGGAAGAGTTTGAAGTAGTATAGTCAAGCGATGATCCTATAGTAACAATGGCTGCTAATTCAGAACTTCTTTCTGCAAAACCTTCAGGTATGAACTATTAGACTGTAAAAAGCAAGATTTCTAAGTAGATATAGAGAGCACATACAGGACTCCATTTTGTTGGTATATTTAGAGAAACAGTCAGAGCTGTTTTTATGTCAATTGACGATAACAACAGTGCAAACAGTGCAAAAGAGATAGCAATACTGCAATCTGTGCTCGAGTTTGAATTAACCAAATGATAAAGAGAATAGTAGGAAGAGAATGACCCCTAATTAATGTTATATGAGACACCAGATAACATGAAAATGATAGTATGAGAGGGTATATCAAATGCTGATTTTCTAAACAGACATGGATGTTGAGATAAACAAGTCATCAAGCATTGTTCCTGACAACAGTACGTCTTCAGAACTATGTTTTGCTTTAATTTCTTGGACAAGGTGCAGAAACTTTGTTTCTCACAAAAAAATCACACAGTAAATGTTACTACTGGCGCTAACTTGTGAAATGATAACAGGACCATTTTGGTGCCTTCTTGGGCTACAGTCCCCTGATTTTTATGCTTTTCTCCCACTGTAATTGGTTCCCCACCCAACGTTTTAATTGTATATAGCTTATTAGCATGTGCCATTCTTTGCAATGTATAGAGCACCCAACTTGAGGGATGTCATACTTATGAAACTTCACTTTGCTTTTTAAATAGAATTGTCAACATTCAAAAATAAAATCAAACAGCAGATCATGAGACGGCCAATACTAATAAGGTTAGTAGAGGGTATGGAAGGTGAACCTGCTAGAAACACAAAAACAAAATTTCAAACAATTTGAATCAAAGCCCAGATTTGATAGCTTTTCAACATTGGCTAGAAGGGAGGATTAAGGAAAATCTTCCAAGATCCAAGTGTTAGATTGGGTAGTGGGACAGAGAGTATCCGATGAGCAAGAAAGGGACATCCGAGGCAAAAGTCCTATATGAGATAGAGAAGGGAGGAATCAAAATAAGGAAATGATGGTGGGGTAAAGACTATGTGGAGGTCTTTTTTCCTTTGCCCTTTCTCAATCAGTTGCCTAAGTAGGAAAATGGCTTTGGTGATTGACCTCCTAGGCATAAAATCGAACTGATTTTCTGAAACACGTTTCATGCTTTAGTCGTTGTTCAATTACTCTCTTTTGCAGCTTCATAGTGTGGCTCATAAGTTTAATCGCTTGATAGTTTGTACAATTCTATATGTCTCCTTTGTTCTTTTAAATAAGTACCACAGTACTTATTCCCTATTTGTCTAACATTTTCTTTGTTCTCAACACCTTGTTGAACAACATGGTAAGTCAACATGTGTCAATCTCCCCCATGCACTTCCAACCCTCTATCGGGACATCATCTGGTCCTAAAGCCTTTCCTACCTTCATCTTTCCCAAACCTTCTTTCACGTCAGATACCATAATCCTACGAATGTGACTATAAACTCCGCCCTTATTTGTGTCAAAGGTTTCTCCTAATGTTGTGTACCCATAGTCTTCGTTATTTAGTCATTTTGAAAATAAATTCTCCACTTTTTATTGACCTCGTCATCTTTCACAAGGATCCTCTGATCTTCACTCTTAATGCATCTAATATGATCTAGATCTCTACACTTCCTTTCCCATTTTTGCTACTTTGAAAACAAATATGACATATAGGTCCTAACTCCTAACGCCTTGAGTCAAAGAGAAATAAAGATAAAAGGACCTTTAACACTTAGAAACCTATAAATATGTTATCATTGTTCATTCTAGTAATCTTGTATTTAATCAAGGTGGACCTTTGAGAAGCTCTTATGACCAATATTCTGAGAAATGTTGGGATTCGATTTAGAAAGTCTTACATAGGACCAATATTTTGAGAAATGTTGGGATACGATTTTTGTCCCTTTTTTCTTTTTCTGTTTTGGTTTTTTTTGTGAAAGACAGTTAATTCAATACTTATATTCTAAAAAGCATTTTGTCATAATAGCTAGTTGAAATTGAGGAGTTATCAATGTTGTGTGTTGCTCATAGCATAGGAAGATAGATTTGGACAATGTGGGTTGAGGATTTCAGCCCATGGAACACTCAATAAAGTTAGGACATTCAAGAGTACCAAAATAAGGTAAATTTTGACTAAGACTACAATAAGGTGTCCTATGCATTTCTTGATTTAAATGCTCAATGGGTCCTTCTTTCCAAAAACTCCAAGCCCCGGAAATGCAAGCATGTTCTCCAAAAAATTTTAAATCTTGAACAATGATTTGCCTTATGGTTAAATCCTTAAAGGAAGGGGGAAACTGCCTTTGGATGTTACTTTCGTAGGTCAATTTCTCATACAAGTACAAACAATTACCACATTGTTCTTTCAGACTTCAAACTTCTTAACGCATCAATAACACCACCTTTTAAATATGAAAGGGCAAGGATGAGAGGGGAGAGAAGGTTAGCTTGGCATTATATTAATATTCTAAGTGGTGCCAATATATGTCACACTGAAAAATGGACCACAATTGCTATATAGAAACATGATGTTAGTCTCAAGAAAGGATCTAGAATTGTAATTCAACGAAGTAGAAACAGGGAGAGTGGGGCTCTTGCAGGTTTAACGTTAGACCCCCTCTCTGGCTTTAAAATAAAGGCAAGTGATTGAGAATCACGGAAGTCAACCCCAAAGATATTCTACTCTTTGATTAAAATCTAATCTGTGTAAATAAGAGTCATTACTCACTATTTATAGAGTCTAGATCCTAGACCTCTCTTCACATTTGCTTACATATATAGTACATGTCTAATATACATTTATTGTGAGGCACCAGCTTGCGTATGTGATCACATAAGCATCACACATGTTTATACAACATGCAAACTTCCATATGTACGTACATAAACATGAATATGTTCAGCCAGCACGCCTAAGAAAGTCTTCCACTAGAAAATCTAGTCATGTAGCAATACAATTTACTAACATGAAGAATATGTGCATATACAGACACACATAAATCCATTTACAAACTATCATTAAGTAACACTCATCAGAAAATTGTATAATTAGCCAGTATATCACTATCTTTATCTTTGCTATAGGAAAGATCTATACTTTCTCTCTTATATCCATAGGAAAGGGTCAAGTGAAACAATCAATGGATATCTTAATGATTCCCAAAAAAACAGAAAGAAAAAAAAACGAAACACATCTTTCAGGATAAGTAAGATCTTGACTTATTGCATCTTACCACATCGTGAAAGTATTGCATAAAGCAATATACCACCCATAGAGTGACCAATTGCAAGCAACTTTCCATCCTTTGGCTTGCTATGAGCTCTAATATAGTCCATCTACAGGTTCACCGATAAACTTCAATATAATTTCAGAAGCGAGCAAAACAGATACGAGAAAACCATTCTAATTCTTAGAATGTACACGTCTTGTGTGTTTTGAGAAGGCAATGATTGGGAATACTATCAACATATCAGTTTCAGGAATAACAGTGATGTTCTTAAAAAATAGGAAAAGAACAAGCTTACAAGTAAAAAATAACTATGAAAATCTTGAAGCCGTGTGACAAATCAAGAACCATAAGGACAAAAAAAGGATGAATTTTCTAGAAAGGCAGCAGTTAGTATCAATAAGAGTCACCTCACCGCAGCAGGAACATCCTCTGCCAAATAATTATCAAAGTCCCAGTCATATTTCACAATCAGATCCAGTTGTTTCTGGAAATCCTCTATGGTTGTAGAGAGGCGCTCTTGCAAGTCATAGAATGGAGGTGAAACAGATCTCTGGCCTTCCTCAAGTATATTTACAAGTTTTCGACTCAACTCTCTGATCTGGCTGGAAATCGTGGAGTTTTGATTTGCTTCTAATAAACCTGAAATTTTTCCCCTGACTTCATTAAAGCGTTCATACAATTGAGCATCTTCTAAAATTTTTGATATTTGATCAAAAAGTTTAGCAGATATAACCCTTGCTTGACCTTCATTGAGGAAACCTGAGAGCCTCTCTGATAAACGCATAAAAGTTTCTGAAAGTTTGGTCACCAAAACTGATTCATCCCTCCTTGTCTCACTACCATCCATTTTAACCCTCAACTCCTCAGTGTCTAGCAAAGCATAAGAATCCACATCCATAACATTCTGTTGAACAGAAGACAACCCAACAACCTCCTTGTCAAGGGACTCCATCATTTGAGCAGCAATAATATTATCAGCAGAAGGTCCAGCTGATTTGGATTCCCCTTTCCTTTTGCTCAGCCCAGCACCTCGAAGTTCCACTATCCAAGTATCAAACCCTTGCTTGGACATGTAACGAGCAAATGAAGACTGCAGAAGTATCAACACAAGTTGATAAGGATATTAAAGATACAGAAGTAACATGCCTAAATAAAAACTGAAATTTCTTAAATCTTCTCAGCATTTCATATCACACCCATGAGATTATTATTATTAATTAATATTATTATTTTGTTCCTATGAAATTTATTGGAGTTAGTCTTCTCAAGAACATAACTAGGCCACTAAAATTTCATGGAACATGAAGACTCCAGCAATTTGAACACCAGAGGATTAAAAAAAAGCTAACAGAGAAAATATTTTAGCTGGAATGAATATGTAACAGTTGCAATAGCTGGAATGAATATGAATACGCACGCGTGTGGGCGTGCACGCGTACGCGTACACACAGAGGTGTATCCATGTATGAATACATGCACACACATACATGTATGTCTGTGTGTGTGGGTTTGCGCATCCAGGAATGCATTTGTGTGAATGGGCATCCATTTTTTTGAGGGGAAATGTGATGGAAATACATACCTTATTTGAATACTATCTATTCAGCTATTTTATATAAATAACACCATGCAACAATATGTTGTATCAAAGTATACATGAAGTTGCACCAAAACACGGCAGACTAATGGTGGATCAATTCAGAGAGAAAGAACCTGCAAGTATTACCACCCTTCCACCCACTCTCATGCTCAAAAGGAAACAGCACAGTTATTAGCAGTTGTACAGAAATGAAACACGATCTCCATCATTTTTTGGGAATTTTTGACATGCGACATGTTGGCAATCCTCCAAGGATCTGGATGGTCATGTAAAGCCAACTGATGACACAGTAACCCTCCTCAGCTGAGGAACTAATGAAGTACTAGAGACATGCACAGAGGCCAATCAAGAGGGTTAACTTATGCCATGAGGAATACCACCAATGGATAAAGCCTATATAATAGATTTGTGCCTCTCATATAAAATACCTATCACCAGGGGGGTCCCAAATTCCCATGAAAACTACTGCAAAAGTTAAACTTCATGGTACCTTCCAAAGAGAAACCTACAGGTTGAGAGCCAATAACTGTATAAACATTTCGAGCCATGATCCTGAACTTCCAAACCAAAACCTATACTGAAATATTCCGGAATGTGTCGAAGACAAGAACCCAATAGGGGACCACATCCCGATTATTGGGGCTTATGGTATCGACCACTTCACTATGCAAATAGACGTGGTTGAAGATTTCGCCAATTCTCTCCTTCCATCCTTCCAGATAGACCCAAAACATGGTAAGGGAGCACAAGATCCATAAAAAAGACTTTTTTGGCAAAATGGGTACAACAACTCAATGAATCATCCATTGCTATAAACATGAACCAAGCAATGAGAAAGAGGCCAAAGAAATAACTTCAAATCATCTTGGTGGGGGGAGAGTCCATAGTGAGATGAGACACAATTTCTCCCTGCACATGAGGACAAAGGTAGGGAACTGCAAACTGTGATATTGGAGATGATCCACAATAAGATGTTAACAACGGATGTAAGCAAGTTGAAGATACGCATGCCGTGGCCGGCATGCTCCTTATGAGACAAGTTGACAATTTCCCTCCATCAACTCTACTGCTCCAAATAAAGCCTGTAAAAGAAATGGAGTGAGAATAGACCAACATCACCACCATGTTTAGATTCAACACCACAAAACCCCCTCCTGTTCTCTAATGCTCAATGCTCATAAGTAATCCCAAATCTCTGGAACGAAATTGGCATTTAAGAACTCTCATCCCCCACATTGAACATCACTTTCCTAGATGCTACATCCACCAAGCAAAAACCGTCTCACATTCACTCTACACTCTCCCCCCTACTCATCCATGCTCTTTCTGGATTTAGTGTCAACAAATTCCAGTCGACCCATCAATATTGTTCAATCTTATCCTTTAAAACTCCCATCACCTTGGACTTGCACTAATATTCCCATTTAACCTCGTGGAACTTGTACTCCTCGCTATTAATCTGCTACAAGAAATCCCTCAGAATGTCAAGCTTATCAGCCATCCAAAGCAGAATACATAGCAGATACATGAACCTTGATAAGAGCCAATCTGCCTGATAGCAATAAAATGGGGAATTTCTGTAGCCTACTCCCAGAATCACCAGAACTGATGGTTTTATTTCTTGGGAATACTGACAAAGGGAGGTCAAGCATCTCTTCTGACTATGGCCACAACACGCTTTTCCAAACGACCAAACTCTTACTAATGTTAATTCGGACTCAACACATAATGACACATGAGGATTACCCCTTGAATTCTGGCAAGAGGCTAGGTCTTCCAACTATGGAAAGATGCCATTCGCTATGACCAAACTCCTACTAGTGCTAACTTACACAAAACACAAATGATATTTGAGGGTTACTTTTAGGTTCTTCCTTCTTAGACTAGACAGGAGAAGCCCCACAAAAGATCAGCATTTGCAAATCATAAATGGGAGCTAATCATTTCCCAAGCCCGTTTGCCTCAGACTATTTGTTTCAAATGAATCTCGCCAACAAGAAGAAGAAGAAGAATGAGAACGAGAGAAAATTCATGGTATTTAGAAATGGGTTGAGAAGTAACAGAGGTTTTGTTTAGATGGAGAGAGTTAAGCAAATTATGTTATGTTGTATGTGTGCATCAGTTGAATAAGAGGAGGGAATGTTTTTTTTTTTGAGAGAAGAAGTGGAGGGAATGTTTTTTTTTGATAAAGAAGAAGTGGAGGGATTGTTAGAGAGTGACAGAGGAGATGAAAAGAAAAAGGTTGAGAAAAGACGTGGGGTGCAGTTGGGTTGAGGTAGAGGAAGAAGTGCACTATTTCTATGGTAGTGATGATAGGCATTTGCGCATTGCAGAGGTGAGAGAGGTCTTGGATGGTTTGGTGAAGGGGATGAAATAGATGGATTATTGTGCAGCCTATTCCTTGGAGTCCTAGTCAAATGGAGGGCTGAAATTTTAGAGTGAGTTGTGAAAACATGGGTTAATTAGCTATTTATTTGTTCAACTCAATCTCTATAGGGATAATGGTGGCTACAAAAAATTGTGAGTTTTGAAAATTAATTAAAAACTTGGTGATTGAAAAGCCAAATAGATAATTTTGATTTGTGTAAAAAAAGTTGGCATTGAGGAAGAGACGAACAAAGAGAGAGAATATTTTAGAATTGTAATTTGCAAAATGTCAATCAAACGCCCATAGTATTAAAACATTTTCGAACTGTTATTCAAACTAACCAATCAAATTACCCCATACAGCAAACGTCATTTCCTCAAATTACAATTGAAAATAAGTCAATTAAAAAATTTTCAAATTTTGTTATCAAGCAGATCCTTGAGTGTTGATTATTTTTTGTTTTTTAATGTCTTCATAAATTTTTGGCTGTTGCATTTGGAGTTTAAACTTCAAAGTTTGGAATTTTAGATGTTTATGTGAAGTTTGGAAATCTGGATATGTTAATTGAGATGGAATAGATTGGCTTTGCCGTACTTGTCAATTGTATTAAAGATTAGCAACAAACTATATTACTCTTTATCAGGCTAGCAAGGGACTCAGAGTCTTACATAGCTAATATATTAGGAAATTAATATATTAAAATACCTAATATCACATAAATCAAATCTATGTTTTTTATCATTATTATATTTTTATAATTTTCTGGATTTTTTTTAAATTTATTGACCTCATTGGAGGTGATGCAGTCGCATTGGGGCCACATTGCTGCATCAGCCCCCATTGCATCTGGTCCGCATCCCAGCATTTTAAAACACTGGTTCTGCTCAAATTTTGCTTTCCTTCTCAGACCCTATTAGCACAACCAACTCGATGAAGGCAGAGGCACTCACCATGGTTACCAAAATCCGCCACACTAGGTGGCAACAGAGTCTTGCTTCAATCAAAGAATCTCCATAGAACCTGGTTCCTTAAATTTAGGTATCTCGCTTCCACCTTTAGGAATCTCGAAGTGAGTTATTTGGAATCCATATTCAACAGCATCAAATCCCAAGGTTTTTACGTGTCCCGAACCGTAATTCGATCAATGTGGATCTCCACTTTTTAGAAATATCGATCTAAGTCATTTGGAATCCAAACAAGAATTACTTAGTGGACCATGCTAACACAGCCATTTAACAAGTCTCATATTCAAGGTAAATTTCATTATACCTTAGTGGTAGAATGATTGCAAAAATATTATGGGATGCTTTCAATATTGTTTGAAACAACGTAAACTTCTTACTCTGTAGAGTAGAATGATCGCAAATATATCATGGAACGCTTGAAAATTTTGAAACACTACTTAAAACATTCTGTTCTTTAAAATCTATTATTCCTTAATATATAAAATGAACTTTCTTCATTCAGCGAGAATAAGTGTCTAGAAACTATACCTAACATCAGGATAGGAGTCTAGAAGCTTTACTTAACATCATTCCTAAAGTCCAAAATTAATGTCTCATTTGGAAAAAAAGTGAAAGTGTACTATTTGGAATTTATTATTAATAAATCAAATAATTTTGCTTTCATTATCCAATAAAGAAACTCAAGTAAACTTCGACTCTAGAACTTTGGGTATTCTCTATTTAAGGGCACTCAATGACTTCGATAGTAATAATTGTAGGGAACCGTGATTGTGATTAAGGGCACCCAATACATAGATTCCAATACTAGGGGAACCCTTGTTTAGGGAAGTCTAGGACCTCAATTCCAATCATAATTACTGGGATCTCCCAACTTGGTGGCAATCCCAACGATCCCACGCTCACGGAGCTGGAGCTTATGTGGATTTCACTCCCAATGGGATGTACATGATCCCAATCCCTGACGGAATGGTTGCCATAAATAACACTCATGTTAGTTTAATCTTTTATAAGTAAATAAGTATTGGATGCATATCCACTAAAAAAGGAAGTACCTATATTGCAAAATTGTGTTCTATATACTTTTCAAAGAGAAAAAATATGTTTTTACCAGAAGGGTCTGGGACCTTTAGATTTTACATGCAACCCCAAAAAGTTGGGACCTAGCTCCCCAGATGTTGGGATCAAGACCCTTAAAATTTAGATTGTAAGATGGCGATCCCAAACATAGGGAGCTTCCAGCTTACAACGTTCTCATGCTCCCATGCTCGATCCCAACAACATTGATACCAATACTAGGAGAACCTTGACTAAGCATACACAACACATCAACTCGAATACTAAGGGATACTTGATTAAGGATACTCTAGAACTTCGAACCTTTTACCTTATGGAACTTGTTCCTTTTAATTACTCGCATGGTTCCAAGTGGTTTGGAGCACGATTCCCAAAAGGTAGGAATCTCGATCCTGAGATATGCATTGTACAAATGGCACTTCCTACCATAGGAAGCTCCTAGCTTCTCATGATTCCCAGCTTCCGATTCCAAGAATGCTCTGATTTCCAACAACTATGGCACTCACTTTATTAGAAAGTTAGAAACTCTTTGACTCCAAATGGAATACCTCCCTCTTGCTGCAAGGAGACTCATGGAACATACTCGTGGATCTCAAAATCATCCCTGTGTCCCTGGCATTTAGATCATTTTCCATGAAATTTTTGACATCGTTAGGTCATTGCATGTTACATTCAAGTACTCATGGCACACGGCCCAGTTCAAAGGCCAATGCTCTGGCATAGGATGGCACCTCAGCCCAAAATTGAATCACAACACGGATCTTAAGGTTGAAACCTGGGAACCCCCCACCCCCCTCTTCTTCCCCCCCTTCCTCTCTTGTAAGACGATGTCTACATAATCCCTCGGAATCTCAGTTTTGTAAATGGTACAGTGAATTGTAATTTGAAACCCTTTTATTTAAAATACAAGTCAATTTCATCAAAAAGAGAAGGATGGCCTGTAATAAATTCCAATCCCTTGAAAAAATGAAAAGGAGAAATAGTTTTTCTAGTAATATTTTTCTTACCAATTGTTGTTAAGTTATAAATAGAAAACCATGATACAAAGAAAGCATTTAGATTACTTCTAAAGATACAAGAGAAGTACATCATTTGTGAATGTAAACAGAAATAATGAGCAGAAACAAGCCAAAATCAAATCCTACATGGTGCCAAAAGGGAAAACAGTACTTACATTATCCAAAAGGAGGTAAAAACTCTAATGTATTATAAGATATGTAAAACGCATGCCAAAATCAAATCCTATATGGTGCCAAAAGGGAAAACAGCACTTAAATTATACAAAAGGAGGTAAAAACTCTAATGTATTATAAGATATGTTTAACCTAATCTGAAATTTCCAAACATATGAAGCTACTCGTCAATGGCCTTCTAATATAAGTCAAAGTAGGACACCTATTTTCTTATTTCTAGTTCAAAATTGTAAACTTGCAGACCCACTCATCCATCAAATGAACACACAAGAGAGGAGATAAACAGGATGCCTACCACAGGAGATAGATCAAACCCAATAGCATTTGTTCCCACCCCCGACAAAAGCATCAGAGGATGGTTCCGGACAGGAGCCTGCAAATATACAAGGAACCAATGAAAAAATTAGGGGATCGAGGAAACAGTTTGCTACATAAGAAGCACAACTATCAAAATAACACAAGACTGACCTTGGTTACAGTAACAATCGCTTTCAATCAAATCAGACATGCGGAAGAGAAAGCAAGAAAGAGAGAGAGAAGAGAGCGAGTGAAAGAGAAAGAGAGAGAGAAAGAGAGGTGGAGGAAAAGAAAAGCATTAATAATAATGATCAAACAAATGAAAAATGAACTTATTAAGCAGTATCAGAAGCATTTAACTTAATGAGATCATATAAAGAGCACAGAGCCACTGATCAACAAAGTAAGAGTAAGACTCAATTACAACTAAACTATCTATACCATTAGAAATAACCTTAGCAAAACACATAACATCAGTAGTGATATGCAGAGCATCAGTCAACTTGAATTAATGCAAATTACTTAAGAGAAGCAATGAGGGGGTGGGTGTGGTAGGGAAAGGAACCGAAAAACGGGCAAAGCATACAATTGTGAGCATAAACTCATAAAAGGAACACTGATCTGCAAAGTAACAGACAAATTCGATTCCAGACCATCTGCAGAGAGAAAGAGACTTGTGGGATGCCACACAATAAGAATTAACCACAACCATCTCTGATGACTGATCAACAGCGTAACAGAGGAGATCCATTAAATTAGCTCATTGGAGAGAGAGGCAGATACAAATTATTTCAAACTAGTTAATTTAGATAGAAAGAGGAGAGAGAGAGAGGATCACAGACAGAGAGTGAGGACAAGAAGAGAGATATAGAGAAGAGAGAAAGAGAGAGAGGAGAGAGGGAAAAAGGAAGAAAGGGTAGGGAGAGAGAGAGAGAGAGACAGGAAAAATGAGGAGAGAGAGAGAGGAGAGTAGAGAGAGAAAAAATGCCTCTGGAAGAGGGGTGTATCGCCAGAGGGAGAGCCTCCAATTGGTGCCAGGCACAGGTACATAGTGGAGCTCATCGGCGGTGCACACCGCGGGCTTCTCCTCCTCCACCTCCTCCACCCTCGTCACAGCATACATGGGCCTCACCGAAGAACCGCGGTTCCATGGCCGATTGCGAGAGAAAGAATAGGAGTAGAGAGAGAAAGAAGTGTTGTTGTCCTTGCTTCTGTAGAGAGAGAAAGTGGAGGGGATGGGGTGGTGGTGGTGGTGGTGGTGGTGGTGGTGGTGGTTGGTGGTCCTGAGGTAGCAAAACTCCACCCCTGCTTGCAGCGCCCAGCGTACGTCGGCCTGGAGAAGGTGCATTTCCTCCGCCCCGCCCCTCGGATGAATTCCTCCCGATTAAATTACAGTACACATATGAAGTTAACCATACAAACCAGTGGATGGACTAGGGACCCAACAACACATTCACTGATTAGCAATTTAAATACATGATTCCAAAGAGGCGATAAGAGGTGAGAGACGTGTATAAGAGAGATGCTTGGGGAAAGGGACTCTTATTGGAACTGGATCGGGTCGACACGTGGACTAGACGAGTTGACCTTACTGCATTTGGATCTTGAGTAAATGGGTCGGGTTTGGGTCCAGATAACCTTGACCCTACTGAATCTGAGTTTGAGTTCAGCTTGGATCCTATAGGGTTTGGTTGGATCTGGGTTCGAGTCCAGCATATATCTATAGGTCTGATTGGGTCTAAGGCCAACCCCACCCGATCCGACCCAATATGTTAGTATAAATTGCACATAAATAATACTAATTATATAGTATATAAAACAATTTCTTATGTATTTGGGTCGGGTCATGGTCTAACTTAGATCTAGTTGGATGTAGGTCAACTTGGATCCTCGCCTACCTCGGACTCATATGAAATGAGTCCCTCATTAAAAATCGATTTTTGAGATGGATTTTGGACTTGAGTTTTAAAGAATATATAATCTCTAATATAGAGACTATGGAGATATAAAAAATAAATTTTAAAGACAAAATACGTATTTTATGAATAAAATACTAACACAAAATTTTTTTAAAGTAATTGATATAGAATATAAACGAAAAGATCATAAACATAAAGACATAATATTCTATAAGAAAAAGAAAATTAGAGAGTTTAAATACGAAAATCTAAAGATAAAAGGAAGGACCAAGGAGTATGTTGGAATTATAAATAAAATAGGCATTATGTCAATAAATGTAATAAAAGAAGAAGAAAACAAAATAATGAAGAAAACAAAATAATAACATTAATGAATTAGATGAAGAACCTGAAGATAAGTATGATGAGCCTGAAACAAGCTCTTAAGAATTATACGAAAAGCAAAAATGTAATATGCATAGTATAAATGTTTCTAACTTTTGAACAAACTAAGTTAATAAAACAAATGGAAAAACTTTGAAAAAAATAAATTATTAAGAGAATGTTTTGAAATTTTAAATGAACCTAAAGAAACTAAACAATTTCTATAATTCTCATGATTTATTACAAAAAGCAAGTAAAAAAGAAAAAAAGAAAAATAAAACAAAAAGAGTGAACTTTCATTAAGAAATAAATGAAAGTAAAAAAGAAATTAAAGAATTAAAAAAAAGAATTAAAAAATTAGAAGAACAGAAAAAAAAAAACTCCTTCATATGTTCAAGAAAATTTAGAAGGAGAAGTAGACTTCTTAAAGCAAATTCAAGAATTTCAAGTTCAGAAATGGCATTCTCTGATAACCCTAAAAATTAAAAATTTCACCTTGCAAGCTATAACATTAATAGATTATGGTGCAGATTCAAACGGTATAAGGGAAGACGTCATTCCCCTAAGATTCTTTGAGAAAAGTGAACAAAGATTATAAACTGCAAATTTTAAATAAGACAAATATTAAGTATAAATTATCTGAAGTTTATTTATGCAATGATGGTTATGTCTTAAAACCAACTTTGTATTGGTAAAGGATATTCAACAAATAATTATTTTAGAAACTCCATTCTTAACTATGATACAACCTTTCTTAGTAGATGAAAGAGGAATTCATAAAATGATAGAGACCATCCTATTACTTTTTATTTATGTGAAAGACCCATAATAACAAAAACATGAATGACAAAACTCTATTAATACTAAAATTAAATTTATTAATGAATTACAAACCTTTATTAATACTAAAACTAAAATGAATTACAACATATGTAGACAGAACAATAATAAAAGAAAGATTAGAGAAATATGAAATTCTTAAAAGAAAAATAAATGAGTTTAAGCAACTTCTAATTAAATAAGTTTGCTCAGATTTGCCTAGTGCCTTTTGTCACATAAAGAAACACCTAGTAGAACTCCCATGTGTAGATGGGATTTACTAAAGATAAAATCTCAACTAAAGCGTGGCCTATTCAAATGAACAAGAGATATTTGGAGATATGCCAAGAAGAGATAGAGGGTCTCTTAAAAAAGAAATTAATTTGAAAGAGCAAATATTAATGGATTTCACCGCTCCACTGGAAATTCCGTCTGCCCCTACCATACTCCAACTTGGTAGTTTCTACTACCTGTCCAGGGCTGAGCCCTGAGATTTGACGGCGGACTTGAAAAACCACCTCCAGACTCTTTACGCCCAATCATTCAGGATAATGCTTGCATCATCTGTCTTACCACGACTACTGGCACAGAGTTAGCCGCGCTCCTTGAGAGGTACCGAATAAATGACTACTGGAATCGGGGTTTTGGGCACAAAGATTCCACTACCCTCTAAAAAGTGGCCCCATGACTTGAAGCGATGGTAATACATCTAGGAAATTTTTTATTTCTTATTTCTTTTTCTTTTCATACTGATACATTTCATTTATTTCAAATATTTCAAATTTATTGAATTGAATATATTCTATGTAAATATTGATTGTACATATTCTATTACTTAATAGACCTTTTCTATTTATTTAATTGATAATTGAATATTTTCATTCTTTTATTTTAATTCTTTTAAATTATATACCGTTATCCCCATATTAACAACGAAGCTCTTTGTAAGTTTCATTTTTGAAACACCAGCTTTTCCACAAGCACAAGAATGTGTCTTGGGTCCGCACGACTATTTTGGTCGATTTTTTTATTGAGAAATTAATTTGAAAGAGTAAATATTCATAGACTTGTGCTGCTTTCTATGTCGAAAATGTAGCAAAATTAGAAAGAGGAGTACACATATTAGGAATAAATTATAATCCTTTAAATTTGATAGTAATAGATGAGCCATACGCTAAGTTTTATGCTCTCCTTGCCCAATCATTAAGACCAAAAAAGTCATTAGAATAAACTTTTCTTTTGTCATGAAGAGAAGATAATAATACTTTGATATTCAAACTTACTATAATGATTTTGTAATTGAAGCTTACAAATTATTTTGGAAGGCTACCTAAGGTCCTTAGAGGACTACACTTTGACAAATGGAGAGCTTGACGTAGCTAGAAGAAAGTTTATTGAGAGTGCCTAAGAGAATATATTTGGATGTTGAAGCCATGGATATCTCTCACCCCTGTACCAAAAATTCCAATCATAACCAGCCATAGGGTTATGGCGCAATGCACTTTTAGGTGTGTTTATGAACCATCATGCGAGGTCAAATATGTTTGAAAGATCCACAATCAAGGATAATGAGTAATCTCAAAAGATAAGCACCAACCAGTCACCAAGCCTTTGTATGCTTAGTAGAAGATGGGTCATTTTTATAATATATTTACAAAATACACTTCAAATGTGATAACGGGTGTAGCAAAGCTAGGACTTGTCAAATAAGGCATCAATATGCCTTCAAAGCCTTAATAGCCAGTCACTATATGCATCTTGATGACTGATCGATCATAAAAGACTAATCAAACCATCTCAACTTGAGACCAATTTTGGGACTTATATTCTTATAGCCCCTATATACCTCTCCCCACGATATTAGAGGAGTTTGGCTACAGCTTGATATGTCTTCAAATTCATTGTCTGTTAAAGAGGGGTTTGACGATCGGGCCTCATCAAATCATATTAAAATGAGGAAGACCTTTGCAAATATGTTTGATGCGGTATTATATGCCTATGGTCCGAGAATCATACGAATGGGACATCATTTGGTTCATCATCTAAAATCATTGTTACTAGGACATGCCTAGACTACTGACCCCATCATGATATTTGGAGAATTGATCTAAAATTCTTAGAAAATTATATAAGGCATGATAGCTCTCTATAAAGTTTATATCATTTTGAGATAATTCGACACCTCAATAATACTTTTCAGCAGCCAAGACTTATATTCGTCATCTGCCAGACCTATATTATGCAATCAGGATGAGCTCGGATCACTAAAATTAAAATTTCTTCCAGTATATAAGGAATTTTCTCAAAGGACTTGGACAATTGGATTCCTAACTTGAAGACCAATTAACCAAATGAGGACAGCACCCTATAGATCTTTCATATGATATCAACTAGCTTTGCAACATAGGCCATATAACTTTACCAAAGCTTGATAATCGATCCTAAATATCTCCTATGATATGGAGTATTCTGGTACCAAATTTTGTGGAGATATGCATCATGAGCTTCTCTACAAGATTATCAAGTCCCCAAGTCTATAATCCCTAATGGTTTGATTTGTAATGATCATATGTGCCCTATCAACCATGTGAGGATGGCACTCTATGGATCTTCCATGTGATAGCAACTAGCTTTGAAACAAAGGGCATAGAACTGTACAAAAGCTTGATTGTTGATCATAAATATCTCCTAAGATATGGAGTATTTTGGTATCAAATTTTGTGAAGATATGCATCATGAGCTTCTCTATATGATTATCAAGTCCTCAGGTCTATAATCCTCAATGGTTTGATCTACAATGCTCAGATATGTTGTCACAATCTACAACATAAGAGAAACTATATCTCCCTCGTTATTAATCCATTTGGAGTGAGGTTTGAATCGTCGGGCTCATCTTTGAGGTCTTTATCACATTCAAATTTTTAAGGCAAAAGGATTTGTTATCAGAGAGCGGCATCAGTTGGACTCAGACATGCTAGGACCATTCACCTAGTTGACCAACGATAGGTTATGGATAACCACCTTTCTTTAATTTTCTCATGGAATATCAATAACAAGTCCAATTGGTTCGGGATAAATTCAAATATCAGAACATTTTGGTCTAAAGCTTTTCTTTGAAACCAGCAGAAGAGGTTTTGAATTCAAAATTGAAGGGGTTTATCCCACCAAAACCACTTTGTGTGAGAAAGTTTTAGTCTTGGATAAGCACCATCGTCCTCATACTTCTCATATCTTGAAGTCTATTTAAACCATTTGGATCTCCACAAGTTATGCATCTTGTTTTCACGTGATAGAGAGAGAGAGAGGGGGAGGAGGATATGTCCCACTATTGTTCTTACACACTAGAGCAGAAGACAAGCCTTGATAGAGCCCCTTCTG